CGTGGACTCACACCCTGCGTGGCCTTCCGTGTCCGGGTCCCTCCCTGAGCGTCCCCGTCCCCATCAGCTGTCACTTCCCAGCCCCGGCCCCCATGAGCCCCCTTCCCGTCCGCGGATGAGCCTGCTCTGGACGTGTCATCCCCGTGGACTCACACCCCACGTGGCCTCCTGTATCTGGTTCCCTCCCTGAGCGTCGTGGGCTTGGGGTCCGTCCCCGGGGCCGCGCGTGTGGGCGCCTGCCTCCTGTTCGCGGCCGATCACATTCCCGTGCGTGGGGGACACATCGGGTGTATCCATCCCGGTGGGTGGACATGGGGTTGTTCCCGCCTTGGCTGCAGTGGACATGCCCGTGGCAGCCTGTCTGACCTCTCCTCTCTCGTCCTTGTGCCCGCACACAGGTGTCCAAAGCCTCGTCGGAACTCATGAGCTACTGCGAGCAGCACGCCCGGAACGACCCCCTGCTGGTGGGAGTCCCCGCCTCCGAGAACCCCTTTAAGGACAAGAAGCCTTGTATTATCCTGTAGCCGTGTTTTCTGTGCGTCCCTCCCTCTGTCTCCCTCAGCTAGGGCATCACTCACTACGCAGTCAAGCAAAACATCTCAAGTCCCAGAACGTTCAGTTCCCAAAGAAAGGTGAACAGCCGCCACGATGGATGGGGAAAAATGTGTCCTCTGGGTTTAGGTGGATTTTCGAGCCCAACAGCAGCATCCCCTCCGGGCCCGGCTGGAAGACGCTGGGGGGGCCGCACGGCTTCCCATCAGGAATAGCAGAAATGCCCAAGTGATGCGCTCACGGCTTCCGGAAGCTCTCGGCTGCCGTCGGGGTAGCGGGCCAGAGCTGGCCGGGCCGGGCCAAGGGAAGGAGGCGGGTGACGTGGCCGCTGCCCCGGGCGCCCGGGCGGGTGGCGAGCCTCGCACCGTTGGCCGTCTGTGGGAAGACTGGGGCCGGGCCCATGCTGCCGTGCGTTTACTGTTTCTTCTCTCCTGAGCCGACTAGAATTGGGGGGTGCGGGGAGGGCCCAGCGGACCCTTTCGGAAACATGTCTCCTCCTCGCTTAAGCCACCGTTACTCCACACGGCGGAGCCCAGAGCTCCGTGGCTGAGCGCACGGCTGCGCGTCGTGTGGAATGCGCCCGCGGCTGGTAGGGGCCGGGAGGGGCCTCTGCCTGGGCAGCACGGCCCGCGTGGCCACGTGTCGCCCTGCGGCGCGGCCCCTGCCCTTCCCTGGGAGCCCACCCCTGACGAAGGCGGATTCCCAGCAGCCTGCCCTGCCCGCGGATCCGGCCAGCTGGGTGCCGGCCTGTCGGGAGCGCGAGCGGCCGTGTGGGTGGTTCGGCGCTGTGGTCACACTGTGCTCTTCTGGGCGGTTGTGTTGTGTCTTGTTTTCCACTTTCGCGCGTCGCCGTGGCCGTTTTGCAAGCAGGAGTGCGGCCTGCCGAGGCCCCGGCCTCGCGGGTCAGAAGGCGTCAAGTTCCCGGAAGCAGCTGCGGGGCCTCCGCGGTGAGAGGCCTAACCGGCTCGCGCTTCCCTCCCGTGGCTTTTCTTTAATCACTTGGCCCCTGTGACGACCTGCACAGTTAAAGGAGCAGGAGGTGGAGGGGGGCCCCGCCCCTGCCCTGCGCCCCTGCCTTGCACCCCTGCGTCCTCCACCAGGAGGGTCCTCATCTTACAGCCCGGGCCGGGGCCTCGTGCCAACCCCCCCGCCCCGAGATCTTGCGAGTGCCAAGGCCCAGATCCCACCAGCGCCAAGGTTTGGGGGTGGGGGGGATGCGTCCCCCTGCGGCAGGTGACGTCCCCGTGCGGCTGGCTCCCCCAGGGCGCAGGCTGTACGGTCCAGCCTTGCTCCCCGGCTCCCAGCTCTCTCCGGCCGGTCCGGGAGCACCAGGGGCTTTGGGGAGCCCAGCTTCTCCAAACCTGCGGTTGGACGGGGGAGCCACGAAGGCCCGATGCCCTGGCCACCTTTCACTGGGCGGGAACCAGCCTCTCACTGTCCCCAGCCGAACAGCAAGACAGACCAAAAGCTGTTTGCAGGGGGGAGGCCAGGGCACGGCGGGATCCGCCCCAAGACTCGGGAGGCTGTTGGCAGAGCAAAGCCTGTCCGGGCCACTTCTGCGAAGAAGCCTTAATCCCTGGAGCCCGTCCTTCCCCCTGCGTCCCCACCACCCCGGGCTGGTCCTCGGGCCGCAGGTCCCCAGCGAGGACGGGAGGCCCTGGTCTCGGTCCCCCCCTGCCCTGCCGGCTGTGCCACGCCCAGCCCCACCGTCTGTCCCCACCCCCGCCACCCAGGAGCCCGGCTCAGGGCGGTGCGGTTCGACGGCCTCGGGCAGCCCCACGGCCCGCTCTGGGCTCAGCCGGTGGTGCCCCCCCACCAAGCCCTGAAGTGAACTCGAACTCAGAGCCCCTGGGGCCGAGGGGTGTGGGTAAACTAGGCTCAGAGAGGGTGAGGATGGGCGCGCCCCCCCCAAAGCCACACCTGCCCGCTGCCTCCCCCAGGGCCACTAGGGCCCTCGACCCCGGGGGGCGGCCGTCAGCAGAAGCCCCACCATGGGTGTCTTTCTAGCTGAGGAAGAAATGCTCCTCTTTTCCTTCTAGAGTAAGTGTCGTGTCCGTAGTGTAGACCCGTGCTTTCCCTGCGCGCGTCCCGCATGAAAACCTTGTGTGCACGGCGTGTGCAGGAGCTGACGGAGACGGCAGAGCGGGCCTGGGGGAGACCCGCGTCTCTCGGCCACCTCGGGGCGGGGGACGTGAAGGGCACCGCCCCCAAAACACAGAGTCTGGGTGTCCCCAGGGGGCTGGCGGCCGGGGCGCCTCCCCTCCCCTCCCCCACTCCAGGCCAAGAATTAAGTGACTCGGGGGGGTGACCTCTGGCCTGGGGGATGTGAACCGCGGGCAGCGGAAGGTGCTGCCCTTCTTCCTGTGACTCCGGCCACCGTGCCCGGGCGCTGGGCCTCCAAGCAGCTCATCCATCTCTGCGCAGCCAGGGCCCCACCGAGCTCCCAGGGCAGGAAAGGCCGTCCGCCTGCCCTGAGGGCAAGGGACCAGGGGGCAGTTTCCGGGCCAAGGTGAGGCCACCAAAGGTCGCTCTGGTCCTCCAAGAACACTTACAAAAAGCCAGCCTGCCGCGGAGTCTCCAGAAAAGCCATAGGTCGGACACTCCGCCCTCTTCCTTCTCTGTCCATGGAAACCATTGCCAAACGTTGCAAAGACCCGCTCCGGTTCGCAGAAGCCAGCCGTGGTCCTAGCAGGTTCTACCCCATCTCTGTTTGGATGTTCAGTGGCTTTTATTTCTGGTTTAAAAAAAAAAAAAAAAAAATTCCAGGTGTGCCACACCCACTTTCTTGCAGTGTTTTAATATTGTGTGGAATTGTTAATACAGAGTGACTAATCCCCGCACAAAGGCTCCCTGGTCCTCTCTCTGTGCCCACCGCCTGCAGGGGGTGGGGTCGGGTGGGAAGGTGGGCCTGGCGCCGGGGGTGACGGGCTGCCCCCCACGCACGTGCACGCGCCCCTTGCTGCTGGGAGGGGGCTCCACAGATGGAACGTGGCTTCGGGCAGCCCCACAAAGCGGCCCTCAGCTTCTGTGGGCTTTCCAGTTTGCAGTTAGAAAACCTCTGGGAGGGGCGCCTGGGTGGCTCAGTTGGTTAAGCGTCTGCCTTTGGCTCAGGTCATGATCCCGGGGTCCTGGGATGGAGCCCCGAGTTAGCTCCTCGCTCAGCAGGGAGTCTGCTTCTCCCTCTGCCTCTTCCCCTCCCCCTGCTTGTGCTCGCTCTCTCTCTCAAATAAATTAAAAAAGAAAACTTCGGGCTGCGCTGTGTGAGGGTTAGCGCGCCTAAGCCCCGTGCCCCACGGTTCGGGATTGCCTCCGTCTGGCATGGCCCGCGGGAAAGTGCCCAGCTCTCAGGGCTTGGAGCGCCTGGGGCCTGGTGCCCCCTGCCGTCCAGCCATCCAGGGGCCACGCTCGGCCACCAGAAACCCCAGGGGAGACGCTGAGTGAGTCATGGTCCCGACTCAGACCAGACTGTGGAGAGAGTTCAACTTTAATAACAAATCTGTCCATGAGAGATTCTGACCTCCCAGCAGCGAACTTTGTGTAAAACATTTATAGATTCAGCTACATAAAAATTATCCTCTTTTTGTCAAAAACCGTAAGATCAGAAGTCGGTTCAAAAACGCAAACATAGAATTACCACCTGATGCAGCAGCAGCCCCACGTCTGGGTGTGCACACTGCAGAGCAGAAAGCAGGGGCTGGAACACACCCGCGTGTGCTCACAGCTGCACGATTCACAGCACCCAGAAGGGTCCACTAGCAGATGAGGGGTACACGGCGCGGTATGTCCCCACGCAGGAGCACACTCCAGCCTCAGGAAGGAAGGGACCCCGGCACCTGCCATGACGTGGAGGGACCCCGAGGACACTGGGCTCAGCGAGAGGAGCCAGACCCAGAAGGACACATCCTGCAGGACCCCACTCTCAGGAGGTCCTCAGAGGAGTCCCGTCCACACAGACAGAGAGGAGAGGGTGGGAGCCGGGGCTGGCGCAGGGGGTGGGGAGTCTGTGCTTCATGGGGACAGAGTCTCAGTTCAGGGAGATGGAACGTTCTGGAGATGGAGGGTGGGGGTGGTCGCAGGACGGTGTGAGTGTGCTTCATGCCGCTGAGCTGTGTGCTTAGAGACGGTTACGATGGTGAATTTCATGTGCATTTTATGAATTGTGCATTGTGCATTTTAGCACAAAAAGAAAAATACACACACCCGAGCGGCTGGAAGGTAAGGCAGGCGTTGCCAAGGATGCGGAGCGGCCTGGCCCCTCAGAGCGGCTGCTGACCGTGACAGGCTAGGGCCACCCCGGGGAGAGGCCTGGCGGCTCTGCTCCTTCACCGCAGAGGGATCAAACCCGCGTCCACAAAAGCTCTAGGGAGGAATGTTCAGAGCAACTTTTCTCATAATACCCCAAACCTGGAAGCTTCCCAGGTGCTCAACAGGTGGCTGGGTAAGCACACGGGATCCATTTGAGAGGGACTCCCGCTCAGCAGGTAAGGGCTCCGCTGCCCGCCCCCCGCCCCCAGTGCAGTGGCCTGGAGGACTCTCCGTGAGCCCCAAGCACCCAAGGGGCTGGCGGCTTGCTTCCCCGGACACGATGTCATCCAGCGGGCAGGTCTGGGCACAGGCTGTGCGGTCAGGAGTGTGACCCCCAAGGACGTCCACACCCTCCTCCCCAGAGCCTGTGGCTGCCTCACCTCATGTGGAGTCAGGAATCTCGCAGGGGACGTAGAGTTAAATACCTGCAGATGGGGGGGGCGGCTGGACTCCCGGGGGGGCCCAGTGGCCTCAGAGCCCTCAAGAGCCGCGCCCCTGAAGCCGCGAGGGGCAGGAATTAGGTGGCAGAGGCCAGTGTGAGAAGGCTGCGCGCGGGGATCCCAGGCCTGGGACGTTCTGGAAGAGGCACCCCAGGAGACCGCGAACAGATCAGGGGGCCGGGGAAGGGTGGAAGGACGAGGGGCTGAGCACACGGAGACTTGAGGGCAGTGACGCGGCCCCGCAGGATGCAGTCCTGGTGGATAAATGACAGCATATATTTGGCAAAACCCACACCATGCTCGCCCCCAGAGCCAAGCGGGGCGCCAAGCGGGGGCTGCGCCCGACGCAGAGCTGGCGTGGCCGGGAGGCAGGGCTGCCCCCGAGTCAGGCACACTTTGTCTCCCCAGTCCGGAGGCCCAGCGGGCATTGCGCCCCCAAAAAGGTGGAAGGAGGGCAAGACACCACACCCGAGCCCCCACCGAGGGCGCAGACCCCACGCCACGAGCGCCTGGTATTCACTGAGGCGGGCGCCCCCCCCCCGACCCTGCGGGCCCGCAAACACCCCTAGGTCTCGGTGGGGTGGGGTGGGTAGGGGAGAGTGGAGTAAGGCAGTTCTTGAGGAAGAAGCCACGCATTCTGACCTGCGAGCGCTGGGAGGATGGGCGGCTCCCCCGCGCGCACCGGAGGGGTCCCCTGCACCCGCCAGCACGGGCACCCCAGGGCCCTTCCCGTTTCCCGGGCCTCAGGCTTGCACACTCCCACCCAGGGGCCCCTGGTTCCCAGAGAGAGTGGGTGCCGCAGCTTTGGGGGGCTGCTGGGGCGAAGCGCCAGGAACCGGGTGGCTCGAAGCCACAGGATTTATGCTGTCGCTCTCGGGAGGCTCCGGGGGAGGACCCTCCCCGCCTCCGGCAGCTCCGGTGGCTCCCGGGGTCCTCGCCGCCCCTTGGCAGGGAGCATCGTCTCCCGTCTCTGCCTCGTCGCCACCACGCCCCCTCTGTGGCTCCTGGTGTCCCTGGATGCAACCCTCCCCACTCCAGCATGACCTCATCCTAACGAACATCATCTGCAAAGACCCCATCTCCAAGGACGGTCACATTGCAAGGTTCCAGGTGGACGGGAATTTGGGGAGGGGACACGGGTCAACCCAGTGCAACAGATTCTTCCAGATGATTGCATTTGGCTGTGGAGACATCTCCGTGCGCTCCCACCAAACACACTTCACTGATTCACTTACTACAGGCCCATCAAACCTCTGCCGGTCCGGGGGCATAGAGGCCGACCCAACAGTCATCACCGCACAGAGGAGGGGCGGGGCTCCAGCCGGGGGCGGGGCGGCGGGTCAGGAAAGGCTTCGGAGAGGAGCTCCAGCTAGGCTAGTGTAGTGGGTTGAATTGTGTCCCCCCAAAAATCTATGTTCAAGTCCTGCCCCCCCACGCCCCCCACCTGTGAATGCGCCCTTATTTGGAAATAGGGAATTTGCAGGTGAGCCGGCACTGGGTTGGAGTGGGCCCTACATCCAAAGACTGGGGTCCGTGCAACAGAAAGGAGGGTCGGTCCCAGTCGCATGGTGACCGGCTGGAGTGGCTGGAGCTGGACAGAGTCAGAGCCAGAAATCCAGTGCCGTCCACAGAGGCAGCAAACGAATTCACAACAATGCTCAGTGGGGTCACCACACACACACACCAGTACCATTTCCAGCCCATGGGGGAAGACATGGCAAATTCTGAGTCACAAAGCCTCTCAGCGGGACCAGCTGCATAATTTTTAGGGCCCCTTGTTCAAATGAAGAATTTCAAGATGGTAATAGTAGAGCATGGGACCACGCACCAGGGCTCCCGAGCCCAGGCCCCAGGGAAGGTGCACCCCTGGGCACCGCCAGCCCCCCTCCCAGCCCCGGAGCTCCAAAGAGCCTTCGTCCAGAACAAGGGAGCCTCGAACCCTCCTTGCATCCGCAACCAACTTCCGGAGAAATGCAGTGCAAAAAATATTCAGTGGCCTTGATTCTACTTCACAAAACCTCTGCTCAAGAGAAAAAAAAAAAATCCTATGTCCCTTTCAAATCCAATTGACTGCATTTTATTTATGAAATTAAGAGGCTAATCTTGAACTTGGGATTACATTTTGAGGATGTCTGTGTGCATCTCCAAAACTGACCTCAGAGCCTCCTCTGGGCTTTGATGCTCTCCCCAAAATCAGGTGTAAGGGGGAGGCACAGACGGACAGAGTTGAAAGACCACCGTCACTTTGCAAATAGTGACTGTATGTTTTCTTCTACGATTCCTTCATCCAGTTTTGGTATGTCCTCCTCTTCTTCTTTTAAATTTTATTTATTGACTTTAAGTCATCTCTATACCCAGCATGGGCTCGAACCCATAACCCCGAGATCAAGAGTTGCACGCCCCCCCTTCTTCTTCTTTTAAATATATTTTTTAAAAACCTCAACAAGAGGAAATGCCCCAGCCTCCCTGTGACCTTTAGCAAGTCACTCTAACAACCAGCACTTAATTTCAGAGTTGAAAGCAAGGCCAAAAGCATCCTATGAGACCTTCAGGGACGTTCTTGGTAATTGCTAAAGGCTCCACGCCCCTCGAAGACGAAGCTCTCACACCAGTGACGTCGCATCAAAATATCTGAAGTGAGAACTGCAGGAGCCGTGAGGGCCCTGCAGCGGTTCTGGAACGTTCCTTCGTTTCTGTGACTTCCAGTTCCTTGCTCTGCAAAAGGCAGCGTGGGACACAAATGCACCGTCACAGTCGCCCCTGCGGACCCCAGGCTGGGTCGCTGGGAAGCGGACTGCGCTGTGCTCCGGAGCTTTCCTGGAGATGAGAGCGTCAGGGAGGGGCCTCGCGTGGCCCCAGCCTGTCCGAACCGTCACTGGTCGGGTCCATCTCCATCGGGACCTGCCGGGGCCCCGGGCGGCCTGCGGATTGCCGTGACCGTGGGCGGGGTGGCTGTGAGTAGGGTTGGCGGCCCGGGGGCAGCGGTCCCTGCCAACATGCCCTGGAGCTGGCTCGTCCCTCCGGCCCGGAGTGTGGACGGGTGGCTCCACACCCGGCAGCCTTGTCTGTCCTTCCTCGTCCTATTTAACTCCTTC